GGAGATAAGTGGGAGATAAATATGATCAAAAGACATTGTATAAAACTCTCAAAGAATAAAATTAGCAGTATTACACACACACACACACACACACACACACACACACACACACACACACGTTTATCTCCTGTCCCTTTTTCCTTGCCGGGGCTGGGAGAAAAGGACTAAATTAAAATGCATTCAAATTACAAATAAAATCGCACCAATGTCAGCAAAGATTTAAACCTGGTCCAAGAAACTCAGCACATTTCTGCCAAATGACGATTTTTCTGCGCCACCTTGTGGCCAAAACTCGATTACTACAACGTGAAAGGTAACCAGTTTCCCTGTGCAGGTCAAGCCCGGACTAGCCGCAATGCGCAAATCGACTTCCATAAATAAGTTGAGAAAATGGAGCCTTTCTTTGTTTCCCTGGATGACAAATACCCTTGCCCTTCTTTCTGTTTCCTCCCCGTCTTCATTATTCTTTCATCTCAAATCCCAGGCTCCGCCCACGGCGCCGGCCCAGGTGGACTGCAGGTCTACGGCTTCCGAGGACCGCCCTCCGGGTCCCCACTACGCCTGCTCCGCGCCCCCGCGCTCCCCGACACCAGGCCCCGCCCCCTAGGGTTGACAGCCAATGGCCGCTGGGCCCCGCCCACGTCCTCGCCCACTGCGTCCGAAGCGGGTAGAGGGCCGGAGCCCCTGCTCTCCGCTGCCGTGGCGCTGTGTGTTGCAGCCGGTATGGACTCGCAGGAGCTGAAGGTGAACGGGCTGGTGGGAGGCGCAGGGCAGGGTGGACAGCGGAGGCGGTTGCTTCCCAGGGTGTCGGGACCGCCGCGGCTGACAGTGAGGGCTGCGGCCTCGGCCCCTGAGCTGCGCGCCCCGCGGAGAATCCCGAGGCCTCCCGCCCCTCCCGGCGCGCCGCCCAATTCCAGTTAGCTTCTCCCCCACCCTGTTGCTGTGTCCGGGGGCGGTTGGGTGACGTGATGCTGCGCCTCCAGGTGTGATTTTAAAGACGCGAGGCTTAGAAAAAAGGGAGGAGAGTTGACCGGAGTGTGGAACTCTTCTCGATGCCTGCTGGAAGTTGGAGCTAGCAGTCAGCAGGACAGATTCGTGGATTAACATTTGCAGATTTTACAGTCATGGTGGAAAGACGTGCATTTAACAAGTACGGGTTGACTGCTCCTGTGTGTGGCACTATTTCCTTAGCACTGAAGATACTGCAATAAACTTGCCCAATCTCGAGCTTACCGTTGATTAGGACTAAACTAACAAGCTGTTATTAAGTGCATGTCATAGTCAGCTATTGATAAGTGGACAAAGGAAAACTTGGCCTTGAAAATTAGGGAAGATTGAAGGTTTGCTTTTTTGCCTGGATTTCTTCATTAACTTTCAAGCCACCTGCCTTTACGTTTTTTTCATACCCTCAGTTTTATCCTTCACAATGCCCATGAGTTCTTTAATAAAAACACTAATACTAAAACCCATTACTCAGCCCCTCATCACTCAGACCACAGGGACAGGAAATACCCTTAATATGAGACCCTTGACCAATATTTTGTCTTAAGACTAGAAAAAGGAATGGAAAATGTCCTCTACAAAAAGCCAGACGGCTCCTATTCTAGGATCTCTGTTGCGTCTACACTAGGAAGCAGCCGTAGATCATACTTGAATGAGCATGCCTACATGCCAAGAAATCTTTATGACCACTGAAATTTGACTGTGAAATGGTTTTCCTTGCTTTTTCTTGCTCCTCTGCTTCAACCATCCTCACTGGCCATCCACAAACAAGCAGCAAGTCAGATACAGCTGTGACCACTGTGGTCTGCCACTCCCTGCTCTAGAGTATGGAATGGCTTTTAGCCCTGCCCATCGACATCTGTCCCATGTACCAGGCTGTTTCTTACCTCCATGTTGCTGTTCCTCTGCTTTACAAACCTCTGTGCCTTTCTCAAGAATTGTCCAAAAACAGTATCCTTCATTCCCAAAGCAATTTGTGGGCTCCTTTCCAAATGAATGAGCTGCACTGTATTTTAGTTGTTCTAATCACAGCCTCATATGAAAATGTAAGATTTTTCCAGGGCAGTGACTACTATTACTCATTTCTGTATTCTCAGTACCTCACCCAGTGCCTAGCACTAGACCTTAGATAGTCAGCATCAAATGTCTTTTGGACTGCAGGGCATGAGGGCACATGGGAGTACATCCCAGCACTCAGGAAACAGAGGCAGGAAGATAGCAAGTTGGAGGCCGGCCTGAGCTATATGATTTTGCCTTAAAAATCAAAATGGACAGAGTCTGACCACAGCAATAATAGTAGGTATGGCAAGTAGTAACAGACTAGAGAGATGTATGAACTTACAGTGTGGTGATTGGCAGGCGGGGGGGAGTGGGAAGAGGATCCTGATTGAGTTGCTGTTTAGGCAGCAGGTGGCAAATAAAGTGGAGCTTTGATGAGAGATGGTGGCTGGATAATGGAGTTTGGAGGAACTTTTTTATTTTCAGAATAGAAGTTTTACAGTATTATCGGATAAGCCTCACAACCACGTCTACGTTTGCTTTACTATTTGCAGCTTAGAAATAAAGCTGTATCATGGACGGAAGACATGAAGCCATGTCTTTACCCCTTTAAATCCATGTCCTTTCCATGTTCTACATCACTGACTTTCAGGGTTGTAGTTGATAAATGACTTTTAAACACTGCATAAAAGTCAAGTAGGATGACATTAAGTGTCCTTTAGTTGTGGCCAACTAAGGTCATTTGTGACCCGAGGCTCTGGGGTGCTGTAGAAAAACTGTGTTCTATTGAGATGTGTTGTAGGTATCTAGGAAATTGAATGTGGGTCACACTTTTCCAGAAACAAAGTGGGAAAGGAGGGTGGAGAGCTATAACTGTAGGAGGGGAGCTTGCCTGACTGTGGTCTACCTAGAAAAGTTTCTAGACAGCCCAGGGATGTTTGTGGAGTGAGAACGCCTGGTAGGTGCAGTGGTTGTGATAGTGTGACTTCCCTTGTTGATTTGCAGCAGAGCAGCTAAACCTTAGAACATCCTAAGAAAGGTGTTTTCCCTTAGTTACAGCTTAGTATGTGCTGATAGTTATGTCTTGTAAATCAAAATAACATGATTTTGAAAATAGCTTAAATATGATTGTTTCCATTGAGAACTAGTTTAGCTCACTCTTATTGATGAATCTTTGTTGTAGAGTTCATAAAAAATTTGTCAATAATTTGCTGTTTAATTTGTTCTCGTCATTTGGTAATGCTAGAATAGTAACAGTTTTACAAGGAAGACGTTCTTCTTAAAAAAGAAAACCTGGGAATGGAAACCTCTGTTTTTTTATGGCAAGCTCCTTTTTTTCCTGTTTTCTTCTTTTTTAGAAAGTTTTCCGAAAATGCTGTCAAAGGATAAGAACAGTGAAAGAAATCCCACTTCGATATTTTTTGGAAAAAAGATTAGGGGAGAAAAAAGAAATTACAGTGAAAAAGAAAAGCATTGAGTTATCTTGGTAATGCATCATTCTGTTTTGCAATCCCTACTACTGTTAGTGTTTAATAATATTTTAAGAAATGTAGAAGAAAGTTCATTAAGCTCTGGATTACTCAAAATTTTAGATTGATACCTGCTTCTTAAAAGTTTTTTTTTTTCAGAGTACCAGACTCTCGTAACTTTTACTCATTATTTTCTTTTAGACACTGATTAATTACTACTGTCAAGAGCGATATTTCCACCATGTGTTACTTGTTGCCAGTGAAGGGATGAAGAAGTATGGCAGTGATCCAGTCTTCAGGTTTTATTATGCCTATGGCACATTGATGGAAGGTATGCATCAGTTATGAAGCCTCTCCTCTAAGTTCTCACGCCTTGCTTTGTGCTAAGAACACTTTTTCACATCATATTCCTGATTTCCAGGTAAAGCTCAAGAAGCTCTTCGGGAATTTGAGGCTATTAAAAATAAACAAGATGTGTCCCTTTGTTCTCTGATTGCACTGATGTACATCCATAAAATGAGCCCTGATCCAGGTACAGTATTTAAGTACAGTATTAGCTGGATCTTTCATATCCAATTCATTTCAAGTTTTCTGCTATCCTAGGCATTATTTATATCAAGATAAACTTCTTGACAAGATTATAAATTCATCAAGACAGGAAACTTCTCTCTTATACTACTTTCATATGGTTTGTGTCCAGTGGCACTGGTTTCACTGGTACATAAGAATTATTTGAGTTAACTTAAAGTTGAGTGTAGGATAGCAACTGTTACACAAAAAAGGACAACTGAAAACATTTACACAAAGAATTTTCTGTTGCAGCCAACTATACAACTTGTTATATACAAATATGAGGCAGTATGCACGTTCATTCGTTCTTTAATGCATTGAGCTTCTTGAATTTTATACTTCCCATAGGGACTAGCTCTTGGTAGATGATCACTAAATTCTCATTCATTGTTAGTTGGGACATATGACTAGATTATGAAAGAAACCTTAGTCATGAGAGGCCTTTAAAGTTGTGTTACATTATGTTAATCTGTAACTTATGGCTGAGGCAGAAGAATATCCAAATTATAGATAATTAAGAAATACATGTGTATGTGTGTGGATAAACATATATCCAGTAACAGTTAGTAGTAAATATTTCAAATAATTAAACAGTAAACTGCATGTCATAGAACAGTTTCTTAAATATTAGAACATTTCATAAGCAAGATGTCAGATCCTTCATTCTAAACATACAATTACAATGCTTACTTTCTTTAAGTAAGTAAAGCTACAAATGACTTTTAATAAATAATCTGTGCATATATGTGTTTCAGAATTGAATTTGAGAGTCAGGTAATTTAAAAACTAGTCTTGGCCTTACCCTTAATACTGAAGTGTTTTAGAATAAAACTTGTGTGTTTTATTTTTTTAGTTTATGTGTCTGAGTGTATTGCCTGCATGTATGTAAGTGCACCCATGTTATGCAGTGTCCCTAGAACTGGATTTACGTACAGTTGTTACCAGCAGCCATGTGGGTGCTGGGATATGAACCCAGGTCTTCTGCAAGAACAACAGTGCTCTTAACTGCTAAGCCATCTCTCCAGTCCTAAGACTCATTACACATTTTTATGAGTTTCATTATTAAAAATACTACGGGTATGTAGTTTGTCTATTTGGGGAATGACATAAACTACATAGCTATACTACATAACTACATGTAACTTTTAAACACCTGCAGATGGATAATTTTGAGTGGCTTTTTTTTGGTTTCAACTTAAATTTTTCAAAATTTTATTATTATTTGTATGTATGATGCACGTGTGTGCAAGTGTGTACATGTGTGCACCGGAGTGTGCATGTGGTGATCAGAGGACAACTTCTGAGTCAGTTCTCTCCTTCCTTGTTGAGATAGAACCTCTCTTGTTTGTGTTTGTGTACTCCTGGCCAGCTAGCCTTTGGGCCTCCAGGTGATTGATTCTATGTCTACCTCCAGTTTTGCTGTAAGAGTGCTGAAATTATAGATGCATGCCACCATGTCTGGCTTTTAACATAGGTTCTGGGGATCAAACTTGAATGTTGGGCTTACTCTGTAATCCCTTTCACCCACTGAGCCATCTCACAGCACTAATTTTAATTTGCTTTTGAAACTTAAAACTTATGCTTGAGTATATGAATCTTCTTTTTAACTATGTTTAATGAAATCTACAGATATTTCTGAAGGAAGCTTAGTGTCTTAAGATGTACTGTAGATGTAAAATAAACCTATTGCAAAGATTTAGTTATAAAAAAAACCAAACTTGTTAATTGTACATCAATTGTGTATTATTTGGACATTTTTGGCTAGATAAAACATTATTGAAGTTAATTTTGCCCATTCTTAGATGAGACTACTTAGAAATATTTAAATTGCATTTATGGCTTGCATTTTCTTTTTAACAAATAATTTCATAGAGAATAACAAATCTTTACCCTGCTAATAAGCATCTGGCCTATCATCACTTGATCAAGAATTTAATTTTGATTTAATATTGTTTCCCCCTTTCAGATAGAGAAGCTATCCTGGAATTAGACACCAAAATGAAAGAGCAGCGTAAGGAAGCTGGATGGAAAGCCTTGTACCATGCAGGCCTGTTTTTGTGGCACATTGGTCGTCATGATAAGGCAAGAGAATATATTGACAGGATGTCAAAAATGCCACATGATAGTAATGAGGTGACTGTTTTCCTTATTTTAAAAATAGTAATATTAAAGAACACCAATCTCATTTATGTGATACTATCTTTTGTTCTTTATTATAGCCACTCTTTTCAATAAATAACAGCTTCAATGTTTTCTCTATTACAAAATAGTTCTCAAAGGTTGCTTGTTTTCTTGCAACATAAGCTTATTTGTTGACTTTTAGAATAATGTACAGTTAAATATACCAACAAAAGTAATTTCTTTCAGGGATGCAGAGATGGCTCAGTGGTTAAGTGCACTGGCTGCTCTTGCAGAGGACCTGGGTTAGGCTCCCAGCACCCACATGGCTGCTAACAACCAGTTTACTCCAGTTCCAGGGGATCTGATGCCCTCTTTTGACCTCCATGGACATTGCATGACATGGGTTTACTTACATGCAGGCAGTACACACATGCACATAAAATAAAAATAATAAATTAAAAAAAATTTTAAATATATATGATATGGACATAAAGAACATGGTTGAACTGAGGTTTCTTATGCTAGTAAGTCTTGGATAGCTACTGTGTCTTGGTTCCTTTCTGGTCCATCCTTCCTCCTTCCCTCTCTTTTCCCTCCCTCCCTCCATCCATCCCTCCATCTCTCCATCCCTCTCTCTCTTCCTCCTTCCCTCTATCCCCCTGATTGAACAACTCTGGTGGTATAAGGCACCCTTATTTTTGCCATTAATAACAAAAGGACAAAGACTACATGAACTTTATTTTTCGGAGTGACTTGTCCAATAGTAGTGCAGAGCACATACCCAGAATGCATTTTGAGAAGAATCTGAAGTGGTGTGAAGATATGACTAGAGTGCACAGGAAAATAATATATTGTTTACTTATTTTGTACTTGCCATTACTTTAATAAAGGCTCATCTGTAAGGTTAAAAGAATGAGCAAAAATGTTTAGAAAGGAAGTAGCATTTGATCTAAAGCCTTAAAAAAATGGGGTGGAAGAGATAGCTCAGTGATTAAGAACTCTTGCTATTCTTCCAGAGGACCTTGTTTGAATTCCCAGCACCCACATGGCAGCTAACAACCATTCATAACTCCAGTTCCAGAGGATCTGACACCCTCTTTTGACTTCTGCAGTCTTTGCACGGCACGGGTGCACTTGCATGCATGCAGGCAAAACACTCATATACATAAAAAATAAAAATAATAAATAAAACAGTTTCAACAGGCAAATGTGGAAAAGGGAAGTAGAGATAAAGGTGGAGATGAAAATGCTTTGTTTCTGCTTACCTTGAGAACCTTGCATTTGGTGAGACGCAGCATACGTAGTGCAAATTGTAAAAGAAAACCTTAGAGAGGTAGATTAGGCAAAGCAACGGATCGTGACTTACGTCTTACTTGGTTTTTAATGTCTCTAGACTTTTATCCAATTCACTAGACTATTACAGAGGTTGCAGACAGCTATGCACAGTTATCTTGGTCTTTAATAGTTGTGAAGCAATGTGTCGTCCCTTTTCCTACCTAAGCTCATTCAGGCTGTGAGTCTGAAAGGAGGCAGCACATTCTTGCTTATAAATTGAGTTACATGTCAATAGTTTGTAATCATTTGCTAGAAAAGCTTCCAAGTAGGATGTTGGTTACAACAGTAGTTGAATGCTTGACAAACTTCTTAATATTTATATTGAACCCAATAATCTTAAAGGCTGAAATTAATAATCTAGTTTCTAAGATTGTCAATTTTACTATACAGAATGTAGTATTATTTGATAGACCTTTTTTGCTACTGATTATCAGAACAATATCATTAAGTTTACCTATTTTTGTTCAGCAGTCATTTCTCCTTATTTCTGTAAGAAGACAGAAACATGAGTAGAATTTTTCCTTTCACAGGGGCCAATTTTGAAAGCATGGCTTGATATCACGAGAGGGAAAGAACCTTATGCTAAAAAAGCATTAAGGTGTTTCGAGGAAGGACTGCAGGATGGAAATGACATTTTTGCTCTGCTTGGTAAGGTAAGTTTGAATCAAGGTGAATTAATCCTCTTTCTAAATATATAATATTTGAAATCTTGTAGTTCACAAAGACTGATGCTTTCCATGTGAGAGGCTTCCTTTTGTGTAGCACACAGCTAGAGAAACAAATTCCTACCAGAGGGCCTGACTGCTGGGGCAATTTTGTGCTTGTGGTTGATTCTCTATTCTTCCTCCATAAATGCTTAATGTGTATGTTGTATGTGAGGCATCCCTAGATACTAAGAGTGGCATGAGTAAAAGAAAACCTCATGTTGTAGAGCTTGTATTATCCTGGAGAGATGAACAGTGAACAACATGCTAAGTTAATTATCTAGTGTGTCCACTTGACAGTGTCCAGTAACAAAGCAAGGGCAACAAAGGGAGCTGAGGCAGGAACTCGGAGTTGGAAAAGAAATAGTTGGAGAAAGTGACACTTTAACCAAGTTTTAGAGGGGATGGGAGCTGAAGCCCTGTGAGTACCCAAGAAAAAGTTCCAAAGATGGAGGTGACAACATGTTCAGATACCTTCGAGCACATTCTGGGTATAGGAAGAAAGCCAAGTCAGGGGAATGAGTGAAAAGATAAAGGCTGGAAGAAAGAAAGGAGTAGCAGTTAGGGGTGATAAGAAGGGCTGGAGCTGATTTGTGAGCCTTTGACTCTGGCTTTTGCTTTGCATTTGATGGGGAGTCAGTCAATGACTCTGAGCAGAGAAATGATGAGATCTAACTTGCATTTTGAGAGATGAACAGTTGATAGTCATTAGAAATTATTGATAGGGGCCCCAGCGTGGTGATGCAAGCCTTCCTTTAATTCCAGCACTCCAGAGACAGAGGCAGGTAGATCTCTGAATTAGAGGCCAATCTGGTCTACATAGTGAGTTCCAGGCCAGCCAGGGATACATAGTGAGACCTTGTCTCAAATAACAACAACAAAAAAAACAGAAACAAGATGGGGAGGGGGAGAAAGAAAAAAAAATCACTGATGGGTAGGAATATTTAAGTTACATCCTTCCATTTCCATGTTGTCTTCTGAACACCTTTAAAACATTATTTGGGGCCAGTGAGATGACTCAGAGGGTAAAGGCACTTGCCCCTAAGCCAGACAGCCTGATTTGGAGCCCTAGAACCCACATAGTCACAGGAGAAAATTAACTACTGAAAGTTGACCTCCACATACTCAACATTGTACATATGCATGCCTACAAACACAGAATAAATAAATGTAATAAATAACATAAATAAAAAATCATTTGATCTGGTGAGATAACTAACAGGTAGAAGTGCTTGCCACACAGGCCTGACATCCTGAGTTTGATCCTCAGAAACCAGAAAAGGCTGGTTTGCATCTAAAATCCCAGCACTCCTATGGCAAGATGGGAGAAGAAGACAGGAAAATCGCCAGTGAGCTCACAGGCCAGTACCCTGAAGTATGCAAATCAGAAGAAACAGGAGAGACCCTCCCTCAGCAAGGTGAAAGACGATAACAAACTCCCAAAAGTTGGCCACTGACCTCCACACACTTGCCACAGCACAGGCTTGCGTGCATACACACACACAATGAATAAAAATGTTTTTAGTTGCTATTTTTCTTCTTAGCAGTGTAAGCCCAAACCCAGGGCCTCATATATAACTAGGCAAGTGCTCTCCCACTGAACTATCTCCTAGCCTTTTCCAAAAATTCTTAACTGTGAAAAATAAGTAAAGATATTGAAACTGGTCATGATGGTACATTCTTGTAATCTCAGAAGTTGGGAGGCAGAAGCAGGAGGACCTTAAGGTATATATAGCCAGACCCTGTCTAAATCAATATGCATTAGGGAAAACTCTTAGTAGATAAGCAGTAAGTTAGATTAAACAATGAAAAGTGGATTAGTGTGACTCTGGTTAGTATTTCATGGACTGCCCTTGGCAGTTTCTCTGTGTAATGAGTTCAGGGTTTGTCATTAGTACAACTAGTATTCGGGGTGATTGAATTCAGGTTTTTTTTTCCTAATTGTACTGTTAATAGGGATTGAACAGTTGACAAGTTTTTAAAAAGAATTTCTCCTGCTCTCTATTCTTTTGTTTGTTGTTTGTTTATAATTTTTTTGAGACAAGGTCTCCCTGTAGCCCTAGCTAGCCTAGAACATACTATGTATATAGACCAGGCTAGCCATAATCTCATAGAGATCCACCTGCCTCTGCCTTCCAAGTGCTGGGATTAAAGGCCTATTCTCTGTTCTTTAAAGTTATCTCATAATCTTCTAGGGTTGGGCTATTTTAGTTGTTAACATGAATATCTTGGAGGGATTTTACTTGTACCTTGATACTCATAACTTGTTTAAACAATATTTCTGAATTACATGGTATGGTCTGTTTTATGTTGCTGTGACAGAATACTTGAGACTAGCCAGGCAAGATGGCTCATACCTATAATCCCAGCATTTAGGAAGCCAGAGCATTGCTGTGAGTTCAGGGTCATCCTGGGCTTCATAGCAAGCCTGTCTCAGAAACAAACAACATCATAAAACTAAAACAAATGTGAGGCTGGGTACCCAGGTTAGCTTTCTGTTGCTGTGATAAAACAGTGGCCAAAACCAACTTGGGGAGAAAAGAGTTTATTTCATCTTACAACTCCCAGGTCATGGTCCATCACTGAGGGAACCTGGACAGAAGAAGCGCTATTCCCTCCTGGCAGAGGAGCAGAAGAGATGATGCCACTGCCTCTGGCCCTTTTTCTGGTGGATTTACATTGGTACTTGACTGCCTCCTCTTAGACCCCCACTTCCCAACACTATTGCTTTGGGAATTAGGTTTCAACATGAATTTAGGAAAGGACAAAAAGTGTAACCTATGTAGCAGATCCATTTTAAGTACGTATTTATTGTTCACTTAATTCAGCAGAAGGACTGCACTAGTCTGATTCCAACTAGGAATTAAATACACTGCTGATTCAGTTTGACTGAAGATAGTACTTTGTATTCCTGTGAGAAGTGTTGGTCTAAGGGAAAGAGTGTGCACACACAACTCTTTGTAGCATGGTTTTATTATTTTGTAATTACCAACTATTGAAACATATTCCAAGGGAAAATATAATTTAAAAAATTAATATCAAGCTCTTTTATTGTCAATTATTTGAAAATTTAAATATTTTTTTACATAATGACTTTCTTAATGACTAAACTTTTCTATAACCATATGGAAATATATTTATCTAACTGATTTTAAGTACATATTGAAGTTATAGATATATTGAGACCAAATTCTTTTTGTTGTTCTTGGGTTTTTTGTTGTTGTTTATTTGTTTGTTTTTTTGAGACAAAGTCTCTCTGTAGCCCCAGCTGGTCTGGAACTCACTATAGACCAAGCTGGCCTGAATCTCACAGAGATCCACCTGCCTCAGCCTCCCATTTACTGGGATTAAAGGTAAATGTTTATTTTTAACTGATATATACTAGGGCAACACGTCTTAAAGCAAATATAGAAGCAAAAAAAAGGGGGGAATCTAATAAGTTATGAATGTGCATTACCTATTTGTAAATTTTTTTCTGTGTATGTGCACACGCATGCATACACAGGCACACGTGGACAAGCACATGCATATCATGGCATGCATATGGAGGTCAGAGGACAACTTGGAGGATTCATCTCCTTCTTCCATGTGGGTCCCACGGATCGAACTCAGATCATCAGGCTTGATAGCGGGCACCTTAGCACTGAATCATCTTGAGGGTTCCACCACCTATATTTTTTTAATTATTTTTATTTTATGTATATGAGTGTTATGCCTGCACATGTGTAAGTGCACCTGTGTCAGGCAATGCCTGCAGAGGACAAAAGAGGGCATCAGATCACCTGAAACTGGACTTACAAACAGTTAACTACCATGTGGATGCTGGGATTCAAACCTGGATCTTCTGCAAGAATAGCCAGTGTGCTTAACCACTGAGTGATCTCTCTAATTTTTAATGCAGTAACTATATTTATAACTTTTTTTAATATTATGTGTATGCATGTATTGCCTGCATGTAGGTAAGTGCACCCATGTCGTGCAATGCCCGCGGAAGACAGAAGAGGCCATTGGATCCCCTGGAACTGGAATTACGGACAGTTGTTAGCTGCCATGTGGGTGCTGGGATTCGAACCTGGGTCTTCTGCAAAAACAACCAGTGTTCTTAACTGCTGAGCCATATCTCCAGCCCTATAACCTTTTTTTTTTAAGAGAGCTATACGTAAACATTGTCAATATATTTTCAGAATATATAGAATAGAAACATCTGAAAGAAAATACAGCTGGAAATAAACTGTCACATATGGCATCTGTTCATGTCAGTAAATATAGATTTGCATATTTATGTAGTCATTTTAATGACTAAAATTTTATTAAATAGATGTACTCTATTGTGGATATTGTAGGTTAATTTTTATTTTTCTCTTAAGGTAATAGTTGGGAAATAAATACAATTCGTGTGCTGCTTTGTGATCTCTTGAAATTATTTCCTTAAGATTAATTCCTGGAACCAAAAAAGAGATAATGGCAGTTGTCTGAACTTTTATTTTGCTTATTCTTTAATGTATAAGATGTGTAAAAATCTCTTTTTAGTTATAGATGCCTTTTAAAACCTCCTAGAGATATTTTATACTTTTAAGATAATTTTTCCATTCCATGTAGTAGTATTCTTTATTTTTTATTTCTAAAAACTTTTTTTGTTTTTGTTTTTTGAGATAGGATTTTATTCTGTACTACATCTTAGGCCAGCCTGGAACTCACCATGTAGTAGACAGGCTGACTTTGAATTTTGGCAGTCCTTCTGTCTCAGCCCCCCAAGTGCTTCTAAGTGTGTGTATGTGTGTGTGTGTGTGTGTGTGTGTGTGTGTGTGTGCGCGTGTGTGCGTGCGTGCGTGCCTGTCTGTCTGTCTCTGTATCTCTGTGTGTATTTAAACTTGCATCCTGTAATCATATTAATGTGGTAGTTAGGATTATATTTTAGAACAAAATTGCTTATGCAAATGTCGAACACC